TTATCATTATATAATATTATTTATATAATTCGTATTTATTCAATTTTGTAATTAACCATATATAATCTTATATGAATATTGTAATAAATCAGTTTAAATCTCTCTCTCGGTCGTGCGGCCACGCGGCGCGCGAGCTCTGTGTTCTTATGGGATAGAGATTGAAAAAAATGGATATTTGTAACCCTTATGGGGTATTGGTTGAAAGCCAAACGAATGGGCTGCAAGCTTCTCTAAAAATATTCAAAACGGCCAGGTCTTTGCTGAGAAATCGCCAAAATATTCTGAAATGACTGAAAGTCATTCAGAATTAACTAATGGCAAAAATGCAAATAACAAGCCGGCGGCGGACGGCGGACATGCAAATTTTTGCCGCAATTGGGCTGATTGCCCGAAACAAGAAGACCAGCTTATCGAAAGCCAAGCTGTGATCTTCACCAAAGTGGGCGGCTCCATGAAGAGGCCGCATGATCCTAACTACGCCAAGTCGGCGACCAAAAAGGGCTGCTTTCATGCACCAGGAATCCCTCTGAACAGCAGCTGGCCACGAGCCACACCAAGACCCAGCAAGGTGCACGGGTGTCAGACCACCAGGCAGAAGCAAGCTACCTTCCGGGGCAGACGGACCAGTGTGTCTACCTGGAATTCTGCCTATACTTCACGCAAGAGGAGTATTTCCGGGCGTTAGAAACCAAGCTGGATAAGGGCACCATCTACCAACTGACAAAGATGGAAGGGCACATCCTGGTCGGCCTCTCCAGCGTTCAACTCCCTGACAAGCTGATAGAGGAGGGACTCAACATCAAAGACGTCACCCTGCGTGCCTTCCCCCTCAGGAAGAGGGCCGAGAGAATTGTCCTCGGCAACGTGCTCTTCTTCGTAGAGGACGCTGACCTCGCACTACGCTGCGGCCATATGGACAGGTCACGTCTATCATCCAGAAGATGATGCAACTAGAGGATTCCTGCTGTTCTGATGCTCGTCGGGAAGCATTTATGACTCTGCGCGACGGAGTAAAGCTCTCCCAGATCCCTGCCTGGCTGGACGTCAAGGCCAAAGGAGTGGTCACGCACGTCTACGTGACCTATGGCATTAAGTGTTCCCTGTGTTACAAACAGAGACACAAGCGTGCCAACTGTCCTCGTAAGACTGGTCTCCAGGAGGACAAGCTGGTGCTCCCTGTGGATGCTCCTGCGGCACGCACACAGGGCTGGACCAGGCCGCCCTCCACCTCGAACACCGTGCCGGCTGCAGCACTAACTCCAGCTGCTTCAGCAGCCCCACCTGCAGACTATGCACCTGCTGCTGTGGACACATCCCCACCTCCATCAAGGGCATCCAATGATCAGCGGGAGGACCTGACCCCCAAGCCAAGCCCCATAACGAGCGCTCTAAAAATTCTGGAGCCGAAAACATCAAGGAAAAGAAGGCAGGGCCCGGTGTCGAGGCCTCCTTCATTCAAGCCCATGCCCTCCAAACAACTCCGCCCTCTTAACACCTGCTGCGGAATTTTTGCACCCATCAAGCAGACCCCCTCAACACCCCCCCCCCCCCCCCCCCCAGCCCTGCCGCGCCTTCGCTCGGGGCGAACTTCCCTGTTCGTCCCTACGACACTCCAGCCCCCGAGATTCCTGTTCCGGCGCCGAGCACCAGCCAAATGCCATCACGACCAGAGCCTTCCTCGACCAATACTGAGCCATTAGCGGCTCCGGCAGAAGAGACCCTAGCCATGATTGGATCATCCATCCAGTCTTCTACCCCTGCGGACCAAGACATATCTCTCTCAGGCCATTCAGGAGAAAGAGCCGCTGGAAAAATTTTCGAACAACTAAAGGCTTACTCTACTCTAGCTCCTCTCTATGGGTTCGAGGTTGATTATGAGGACGTGGTGTCCGCGGTTCTATTCCGTTCTGAGAGAGAACCACTCCTCAATGATCTCTCGCCTGGAAAAATAAAAATTCTGTGCGAATTCCTCGGCGGTGCAATTGAGCACGTTGGGGATAAAAAACCCTCGTTAAAAGCACGGGCCTTTCCGAATTCAGGTCAGCTTTGTCGCTGACCCACAGATATTGGAGTTGCCGAGCAGTGCGACCCCTGCTCCGGGAGGTCTTCGCCTCCTGCGAAGTGCCCCTGGATCTGCAGGCCTAGCTCTTCGGCGTCAACCTCCATCCCGAGACAATGAAGATCACAAGTGTGGCGAAGGCTACCATCTACAAGTACCATCTTGGTCTTGAGGTGGGCAACGTCAGCCAATACATCTACCTGCCCACTCGGTGGAATAGAACTCTCGCAGTGGGCGCTACCAATGAAGACTATATATTTTATATATGTGTATATTTATCAATTATTTTTATCTATTTATATCTATTTATTCCTATATTTATCATTATATAATCATATTTATCCATATTTATTCTGTATTTAACCTTATATAATCTAATATGGACTTTGAAATAAAGTAGTTTCAATCTCAATCTCTCTCTCTCTGGGAATCTCCTGGACGTCCGAGTCGCTGACCGTCCTGGGCTGCACCATCACCACTAGAAACACCGTCGCCTCCCAGGCCTCACACCTGATGGGGCTGCTGGAGCGAGCCATCGCGAGGTGGTCACCCTTCACCCATGGCCTGTCGCTGGTGGGTCGTGCTCACGCGGCCAACAGCCTGGTCTTGGGTTCCATCCTGCACCATCTCCACGGCTATCTTCCACCTGAAACCTCCGTCGGCCGGCTGCAGGCACGGTTGACGCGCTTTGTGTGGGGTGCGAGCCGAGTTTCGTGCTCCCCGGGCACATCCTGGCTGGTCCAGTCTCCGATGGTGGCGTCGGCCTGCTTGACATCGCGGGCCAGCTTCGGCTCTCCTGCCTCTCTTCGCGGCGCCGCCAACGGCTACTCTTGGCTGGTCCTCAGCCGGGCGTGGTTGACACCGCCGGCTTCTGACGTCTGGCTCTCGCCTAGGAGGAGGAGACTGCTGAGCCTCTGGGAGGCTGCGTCCAGCGTCCTCGAACTTGACCACCGGATTCTTCATCCCGCCAGCCTGAGGTCCCTGCGTCTTCGAGGCGACAACAGATTCCTGCGGCCGCCAGACCTGCTGGCTCCCGAGCGCTGGCTACAAGCGACTGTCGGGGGCTTCTCCGATGGCGCCCCTGCACTAGCGCGCTCAACGCGGGCCGCGCTCCTGGGGGCCTTCTGCCAACGTTTCCGGCGGGAAAACGCCAGCTCCAGCTATCATGCGGAGTACGAGGCGGAGACCATCGTCCTGCAGGGATCGGCGACCCCCATCACCCGCCTAACCAGCCAGAGGGCGCGCCGGGCATTGGACACGGCACGGCTCCAGGCGCATCCTACTGCAGAGCTGGTTGCCCGGTGGACCCCCACCGTGGATGTGCCTCGCTCCATCCCCTGGGCCAACCTGCGTCGAAACTGTTTCTCGGGGCACGACGCAGATGTCTATAATAGTATCTTGCCTTGGAATTGTATCATTATTCTTGTATGGATGTACCCGGCTTCGCCCGGGTTTTACCCGAGTAAAAGTTTGTCTAACGAATCTCTCGATAAAGTGAACATTTTTTCCCGGTCCCTTGAAAAATACTCGATAAGTTGAATAAAATCAATATTAATTAGTTCCCTCGGTAATTGGAAGTTAAAGGAATAGTATCTTGCCTTGGAATTGTATCATTATTCTTGTCTCAAATAAATTGCCGTGTCATTCTGAATTTTGTCTTTCCTAATTTTCTACATTACAAAATCATCGTATCATTATGATAATATTTAGAGCAGATTGTTGAATTATAACAGATAAATTAGAATATTTATCTTGATTATTTTTAGGCGAAAAGTTATTTCAAAAATTTATTTGCTAGAAACCTTCCCAGTACTATACTAAATAATTTCCCAAAGTTTCAAGGCGTTCCAATGAGTGGTTTGGTCAGGCATAAAGGACACACACACACATACATTCATTTATATATATATATAGATATGAAAAAATAGTGAAAATATGATATTTTCTTTCCTAATATATATATCCATCAATAATATAAAGATAACCATGAAGCAATCTATACAAAGCGAACAGGCTAAAATATACAACTTTAAATTCTATCGCACTAAATTTTTACACAGGCTATTTTGACATAAAAGAGTTATAAACTTAACGATTTTCTCTTTTCAGAAAACGCTTTATTGCGCAACAAAGAATAATATGTTAATTTTTTCAGAAATCACATCAATATTTTCGTAAAGAATAATGCTCGCAAAGAGTTTTATTCCTGCAAAGAAAAAATAGAAACGGAGTTATCTGCCTATATTTTTTCGTCTGCCAGAGTATTAAAGAAGTAAGAAAAAGATATACTTTTCGAGGGTCAACGACAGACAATTTATTCCAATTAAGATGATTTTAACCACGCCATATACTCGATCATTTGCACAGGGCCTATAAAACTTTTATAAAGCTGTAATTAGAATAAAATAACTTCCGTTAATATGCTTGTATACTTTTTTCACATCTCTCTATAGAAAACCGTATATATAGGCTCTATAGTTGTATCATTTTTTTTTTAGTGGAGTGTTTTTATAACCTCTCACATAACTTACGGGTATCTGGATGAGAAAATAGAACAGGAGAAAATCTATAACCTATATATGTAATATATAATAAAAAAAAAACTAGTTATAGCTTTAAAATTTATACATTTCCCATAAAATAATTTGTAAATTCGACTTTCTTTCTCAATAGTTTTCCCACGCCATTTCACTGAAGAAAATCTGGATATAAGACTAAAGGTCCTAATAAAGGTAATGATTTATTGATATTATTAAAACGTATATTTTCAGATATTTGTAAATTGTTCTGTCTATACCTTATATGTTCATGCTACTGATATCTTGTTTGAAAAATTAAGCATCCGTAGACCAATACGGCAGGATTCATTGTCCTAATGGATAAGCATTTTATTTCTCAAAAGGTTTACAGAAGACTGCGGTTGGGAGGAAGGTGTTTCGGACGGAAAAGAGGCAAGATGGTGGCATAGTTGGAAACTGCCAGCCTAGCTGTGTCCTATCTTGCCACTTGGCCGTTCTGAATTTCTACACGTCGCTCTGTGGTGGTAAGTAGCAATCATACTAACAAACTAATCTTAATTGTTTGGTTGTTTACTAGTACAGTGGAACCTGTTTTCTGCCACTCGGGGGAACCAAACAGAATAGACTCATGCTGCCTCTTCATCCAGGTTATTAACGAAGAACAGGAGTTATTAACTGTATCAAAAGCACATTTTCTCAGCCCCTTACTAAATTATTTTTAAGCCGCATACAACAGGAATTATTTTGACTTCATAAAACAATATTTATTAACCGCATACAACAGGATTTATAAACCTTGTACAACAGGATTTATAAACCGTATACAACAGGATTTACTAAAAGCACACAACAAGATTAATATTTTAGCCGCCACAAAAAAAAAAGGAAATTATAAACCTTAAAAGGTTTGCTCAGAAAACAATGTTTGGAGTATTAAACAGGTTTGACTGTAATTAACACTTTGAAAATGTTCTCACCTTAACACGCCTAACATAATGGGTTGTAATACAAATTCTACTTTGATCTGCATGAACCTTGGTGATGTTTGGCATTTTCATTCCTCCTAACCTCCCTGTAATTAACCTATTTTGTTTTTTATTTCTTTTGAACAATATAATTTATATGGTAAATGAAAATTACGTTTCTTACTCATATTGATTGATAGTTTCAATTAATATTCTTTGATAATTAAGACATTTTCGATCTCAGTTCGAAGCATCGGCCAGGTTTCAAATCATTGCCTAAAATACAATATTTATAGGTTATAAGCTCTAATTTGGGGTTGTTGCAAAAATAGTGGCTGGTATATGAAGGACGTTGTAAGTAGAATATTTTAATTGTGACAAAACCCCTTAGATTATATAAATTTATTTTCAATAAAAACAAATTGCCTTGTTACGGTTTTACAAAATTTTGAATATATGGAGGTAATAAACTCATTGATAACAGTGTTGGAATCTCTATGGGTTTTGAATAATTTCTTGCCTCGGATATGTTCGAGAGGTGTTTAAAGAAGTGATAGTCGGTATGGTGAGTCTGGTAGGTAATCAAGAGTTTCATTGCTTACTCATACATATTTTTATCGTATCATTATTGAGACGCGAGGCCGGTTGTTGTCGTGTAGAAGAATGTTATTTTCTTTATATCATTGCCTCAGAACTTAGTTAACGTGTTTGTGTTTTGTTTCAATCGTCCGACAATATATCTTCACTGTGTTTGTTTCGTCCGGATCCAGGCAGCTGCAGTAGTTGACACAGTCTGTAGACCAGCACGTATGCCAGCACTTTAGTTCAATTTTGGCTTCAATAAATGTTTTGGCACTAAAGCGTAGTCCAACCATTGCGTTGAACGTCGCCGGTTGTCATAGAGAGTCCGTTGCACACAAGCTACAATACACGTTTGAGAAATGGGTCGCTCTTTTTGTCCATAGGTTACGCTCAAGACAGTACAAAACGGCGATGTTTCGATTTTAATTCAATTCATGCAGTGCCCATTTGTCGAGTATTTTTACTGTTTCTCAATATTGACTCATATGGATTGATTGAAGTTGAGTTTTCGGCAACCTTTTACGCAGATTTATGCGTTTTCGCTCTGATTATCTCCATAACGGATCGTTGTCCGACGGCCGCTCACGACTCTTGTCTGTCTTCAAGGCTGGTAGTGCGACGTGGGATTTTGTGAACCACTAGCGCATAGTGAGTTAAGAAATGGACCCATCGTTCCATACGCAGATATCACTTCGAGTTGTTTCATCAGCGTTGTGTCCGAATTTGAATTCGTAGGGAAAATTATGCAGATTTAATGTTTTGAAAGCATTCACACCTATTAACTCTACCTATTAACCTAATCAAATTCAACTAGTCTTGCTGCGCAGCATTTCAGGAATAAAGCTCTGACTGTCCTGAATGTATATTGTTGCGCCGGGTTGTGGCTTGGCAGACTCTTCAACCTTACTTCTCTCCTGTGCTGGGTCTTGCGTCTTACCAGAGCGTGTCTCAACCATCCTACAAATTTATATAAGGGAATAATGAGATAACTCTACTTTAAGTAGCTTCCAGAATAATTTATTTATTTGTCACATCAAAGAGAGCAGTGAAGACACACAGTGTACCAAAATGAAAATGGTGATTTTATAACAAATGAATCTGTTTATAACATATTCATAATTTGCCTAATGCCCAAGAGATATAAATTATTTTCGCCATAATTAATATGTTAAAATGTAAATACAAATTCACCCATCTATGAATCTATACGAAATAAACGTGGGAGCCAGCGCGCGCGGGCGTAGGCTACGGCACGCCGCCGCGTGCACGCGCGCTCACGTGTGTGGAAAAGTTCTTTTTCGAAGCATACATGCACAACGGCTGCGCCTTTCCATTAGACAACGACAGATACGACATATATATATATATGAAAAAATAGTACAAATGTAACATTGTACTGGGATAAGGTGCATAAATTAAGAAAAAGGCATCTCCTTATCGTGCAACTGAAAGTTGCTGATGGCTGGCGCCATCTATCGGAATAAATATCAACTATTCTCGTTGATTTTTAATTATTCCAGAATTGGCCAAATACCCATTCTTGATTAATCAAGAAAAGCTAATCACGGACGCGTTTCGGGCTGTTGGCCCTCATCAGCGTGGTGCAAGCTGTACCTCAACGACCAAAAAATTGGTCATTAAGGCATCCTGAAAAATCATGAAACGGGTAATTAAGGCCAGAATTGCGTGAGGACGCTACACAATGTGAAAAAATAGTACAGATGTAACATTGTACTGGGATAAGGTGCATAAATTAAGAAAAAGGCATCTCCTTATCGTACAGCTTGCACCACGCTGATGAGGGCCAACAGCCCGAAACGCGTCCGTGGTTAGCTTTTCTTGATTAATCAAGAATGGGTATTTGGCCAATTCTGGAATAATTAAAAATCAACGAGAATAGTTGATATTTATTCCGATAGATGGCGCCAGCCATCAGCAACTTTCAGTTGCACGATAAGGAGATGCCTTTTTCTTAATTTATGCACCTTATCCCAGTACAATGTTACATTTGTACTATTTTTTCACATTGTGTAGCGTCCTCACGCAATTCTGGCCTTATTTACCCGTTTCATGATTTTTCAAGATGCCTTAATGACCAATTTTTTGGTCGTTGAGGTACAGCTTGCACCACGCTGATGAGGGCCAACAGCCCGAAACGCGTCCGTGGTTAGCTTTTCTTGATTAATCAAGAATGGGTATTTGGCCAATTCTGGAATAATTAAAAATCAACGAGAATAGTTGATATTTATTCCGATAGATGGCGCCAGCCATCAGCAACTTTCAGTTGCACGATAAGGAGATGCCTTTTTCTTAATATATATATATATATCTAAAGAGACAAGGGTCGCCTCTCCCGTCAAAATAGACGTCTAAAACAGACGCCATCTATTGACCGTCGCCGCAACTAGCGGCCTCGGGTCGGTGACAAAGCCACAACACCAGCTTTGGCAAACTGAAAAGCGTCCACCTGGAGACCATGGTTTCGGGCTGATGGCCCTCGTCAGTCCAGGGCGGACTTTATTCCATGAGATCCACACGGGATCTAATGGAATCTTGACAATCTGCCAAAGAGGTGTTTTGCTGGCAAAGTGGCTGGGCCATATCTATGGCCAAAATATAGATGGAAATTTTGCCGGGAGGAAAATGATCTAAAGAGACAAGGGTCGCCTCTCCCATCTATATTTTGGCCATAGATATGGCCCAGCCACTTTGCCAGCAAAACACCTCTTTGGCAGATTGTCAAGATTCCATTAGATCCCGTGTGGATCTCATGGAATAAAGTCCGCCCTGGACTGACGAGGGCCATCAGCCCGAAACCATGGTCTCCAGGTGGACGCTTTTCAGTTTGCCAAAGCTGGTGTTGTGGCTTTGTCACCGACCCGAGGCCGCTAGTTGCGGCGACGGTCAATAGATGGCGTCTGTTTTAGACGTCTATTTTGACGGGAGAGGCGACCCTTGTCTCTTTAGATCATTTTCCTCCCGGCAAAATTTCCATCTATATATATATATATGCAATATAATTCCCACACTACTTGTAAATAGTCAACAAATTTTTTATTTTAATATCCATATATTTTAATATCTATAATTATAATCAAAGAGTAAATAGCCAATGCTTGTATATAATATTTCGACCAACGACCCGAGGGGTAAGAGGGAAGAGAGGAGAACAAAGGAGTTGGAAAATAAACAAAGGGAAAATGGCTGCGTTTCTTTTTGTCGCGTCTATTATTTCTTATATACAAATTTAGAGTTGTAAATTTATAATTATTCAAAACTACCTTAATACGACAGTATTTAGCCGACACAGGATATAATAACCGGTACGTTTTTTCTTTTTTTAAAACTTTATTAGATTTAGCCTTTAGCCTACCCATTCGCCACAAAAATGCCAAAAAGGAAGTCAGATACCGACACTCATTTTTCTGACAGAAACGATAATATGTAATTTAAATTAATGAAAGAACAAATTAATTTACTAACACAAATTACACAACACACACACACACACAACAGACGATCTCAAATAAAAATTATATAAGTAAATTCTCTGGCCTCAATCAAGATATAAATATTTTCTTTCGTAACATTGAGGATGCAACGAACGATGAACGAGACAGAAAAAAAATTAGTTATTCTAAATTTAGAAGAAGAAGCTAAAAATATATTTTATCGATTGGGCTTAGAACAAGAGACTTATTTAAATATCAAACAGAAACTGTCCACAATCTATATATCAAAGAATAAGACAACGTTGGAAGAATTGTTCACTCGCCAATTGGAAAAGCCAGAAAAAATTAACGATTATTACCATTTTAAGGTTGTGGGTGCATTAGAGAACTCACTTCAAAACAAACATATTGTTGAAGCACTTACGGCAGGTGTAACGTATGATTTGAAGAAAATGATATACACCAGGAACCCACAGACGCCTGAAGAATGGTTGG